CCTTCTTCGACCCGGCCCTCCGGAAATTCCGCACCGACTTCGACTTCATGATCCTCAACCTCTCCTTCTGCGACCTCTTCATCTGCGGTGTGGCCGCCCCCATGTTCGCCTTCGTCCTGTTCTTCGGCCCGGCCCGCGGCGTGCCCGGCACCTTCTGCTTCACCTTCCACCTCACCAGCTCCGGCTTCATCATCATGTCTCTCAAGACGGTGGCGGTGATCGCGCTGCACCGGCTGCGCATGGTGCTGGGCAAGCACCCGCACCGCGCCGCCTCCGCGCCCTGCTCGCTGCTGCTCACGCTGCTGCTCTGGGCCGCCAGCTTCACCCTGGCCACGCTGGCCACGCTGCGCACCCGCGGCTCCCGCCTCTGCCTGCCCATGGCCAGCCTGCCCAGCGGGCAGGGCAAGCTCATCCTCTACCTCTACGTCACCGACTTCATCTGCTGCGTGGCCGTCGTGTCCGTGTCCTACGCCATGATCGCCCGGGCCCTGCGCAGGAACGCGCGGGCGAGGAATTGCCCTCCGGCCGTGGGCACCCCCAGGGCTCAGCCCTTCGCGGGGCCCGGGGCCGTGCCCGCTCTGTACAGGACCCAGAGCTGCACCAAGCCGCCCCACGGCCACGCCAAGCTCGTCGGCCGGCTCCCGCTGGCCTCGGCCGTCAACCTGGCCACGGCCAAGGACTCCAAGGCGGTGGTGACGTGCGTGGTCATCGTGCTCTCCGTCCTGGTGTGCTGCCTGCCCCTGGCCATCTCCTTGGTGCAGGACATGCTGTCCGGCAGCGGTGGCTTTGTGCTCTACCAGTTCGAGCTGTGTGGGTTTACCCTCATTTTTTTCAAGTCGGGATTAAATCCCTTCATATATTCCCGCAACAGCGCGGGGCTGCGGAGACGCATGCTCTGGTGCCTGCAGTACGCGGCCCTGGTCTTTTTCTGCTGCAAGCACAAGACGAGGCTTCGAGCCATGGGCAAAGGCAGCCTGGAGGTCAACAGGAACAAGTCGTCCCACCACGAGACCAACTCGGCCTACATGTTGTCTCCGAAGCCTCAGAAGAAGGCTTTGGAGCAGGCATGCGCTGCCAGCCATTCCAAGGACAGCGTGCTGAGCCCCAAGGCGTCGGCGGGGCCGCAGCAGCACTACGGGCAGAGCAGCTCCACGCCGATGAACACGCGGATCGAGCCCTACTACAGCGTGTACAACAGCAGCCCCTCGGCGGAGGGCAGCTCCCCGCACAGCCTGCAGCCCGCCGGCTCCGCCTTCGCCTTCGCCAAGCCCTGCGGCGCCGCGCTCCATCCCTCCGGCGGCGCCGCTCCCGCCAGGCACATCCCGCTGCCCTCCGTGTAGCCTCGGCACCACCCAGCCGTTCCAGAGGGAGGAATTGCGCCAAACTCCTTGATGCTGCCGCCAGTGAATAGAAACAGCGTGTCCCGTTTGCGTTGGAAGCAAACGCGGGGCTGGCGCCTCCTTGACGCGCTCTGGAGTTCCCGTGGAGAGCCAGCAAGGGGGATATTTGAGATTTGGAATTGTTGCACGAGGGTGGTTTTGTTGCTAAGTTTTACTGCTGGGCAAGTAAAAAAAAAAAAAACAAACCTAGATGCCCTGATTGTGTGGTTCATTATGTCATAAGGCCAGGTTGGACAGGGCTCAGAGTAACCTGGGACAGGGGAAGGTGTCCCTGCCTGTGGCATGGGATGGAACTGGATCATCCTTAAGGTCCCTTCCAACCCAAACCATCTTATGATAAAGCCAAGTTTTATAAATAAGTATTTTCAGGAAGGAAGAACTGGGGAGATGCTTGGTAGTATTTGAGTTTAAACTCTTCCCTTGGCAGGAGTTGGAAGAATCAATGTTTTTCAGTAATAACAAAAGTCCTTTTCTTCACAGGGTGAAACCCTGCTTCTGTCGAGGTAAATGGCAAAATTTCTATGAACTCAGCTGAAGTTCAGGATTTCAGTTTTGGCTTCTTCAAGTGGAACAAGGCTTTGTTCAGTCAGTGTTGTATTTCCACTGGGGAGGAACTTTGGGAAGTGGGCACTGGGATAAGCCTCTGCAGTATTTATATTAATACCTGCTGGGCGTTGATTTTAATGATGGTGGCATTCTGCATCCCAAAATAATTTGGAGAAGTGTTTTACATTTGATAGAAATTACCATGCACTACCTAATTACTTTCATTACTTGAGGATAAAGATGAATTTTGCAATATTATGTGACTGATAGACCAGGAGGAGTACAGTCACCTCTGGAATTCCCTGACTGGTCAGCTGTCAGGCACAGAGTCGTGTTGCTGCTTGCTCTTTTGCCCATGACTTTGTATAAATTGGGTTTTGGCTATTCCTGACAGTCAGAACTGACAGCTGTTAACATTTCAAAACCAGAATGACAAGTTTTTGAGGTTTTGTTAAGTCTGACATCAGTTTGAGTTCATCTGTCTGCTTAGAAATTTTGTCTGTTGGTCTACACAGAGAGCAAATAACAGCAGTTAAGTGTTTTTTTTATAAAGTCACCCCTTTGTGTTGTTTCTTATTGTGGGAATTCCCTGGGAGAGAGAACAATTCAGGGGCATTTAAATTCCTGACAGTTCTTGCTCTAAGTGGCCAGATCTCTTCCAAACAAACAATCACCTTTCAGCTTCTGTGGACTTCAGCAGAGCCTCAGTGTCTCCAGAATAATTGTGCCACAGGCTTTTGATGCCTTGCTATAGCAAAGTGCCACATCTTCAGGAAAATGACAGTGATGGGAACGTGATTTGTTACTTTAGAAACAAAAAATGTCCACATCATTGCTGTCTGTGCGTTGTTGGTTCAGGCTTTTTGTTAACTAAACTGTTCTCAAGATTCTCCTGGAACACTGTTCTTTGTTTAACACTGAATATTAATTAATTCTGAATAATTCAAACCAGCTTTCTTGCAATAAAATCAGTGTGAACAACTTTCTAATACAAATGTGAAGTGGAAATTATTTCCATAAATCTTTTCTCTCTGCCCAGATTTTTTTTTCTCTAAATGAATAATGTGGTTCTTTTTAAACTAAGTATAAAAGATAATGGAAAGATCTTGTTCTGTATTTGAATTTCTCTTCAGTACAAATTGTACTGGAGGGTAAAATACACACGAGGCAGTTTTGGAGGTTTGCTGTGTGTATGTGCAACTTCTCCTGTGCCATTAGATCACATGAACTTCATCACATGTTTGAAAATTAAACCACTCTCACCTCATAAAACATTTGCATTGAGTTTTCATGTGGGAGTAAAGCAAGAAGGGGCCAAGCAGGAGGTTTTATTGCCTTTGTGTGACAAAAGAACTGAAATCCCATCAAAGCTGTTTGCAGTTTGCTCTCTGACTCCTGGTGCCAGCTGTGCCCTTAACACTACCTGTGTAATTAATATTGGTGTTAATCTGCACAGTGTCACAGTGCCACCACCTTTTAATCTGCAGGAGGAACAAAACCTCATTTAAGTTGCTTTTACAGTTGCAGCTGTATACTAAATAGCTGTTTTGTGGGAGGTTCATGGCTGTAGGAAATCCAGATTGGACTTTGAAAGCAGGTACAACTTTGCAGTGAATCGCTGACTGAAATAGTCAAATTTTTGATAAAGTAATTGGTTTAGACTCTTTTTGGAGTGTAACTTTTCTCTTTTTTTCCCTTAGTCTCTTCCATCAGAAGCCTGCTGAGCACAGAACCAGCAAAGCTCCAGTAAAGCTCCAGTAAAGAGTCACTGCAAGGTTAACAAGCAGCAGTGGAATTGAGAGGGAAGCAGCAGAATGTGGAGGTGGAAAATGTGTGGGAAGAGAGGAAGTGAGAAATGTGACCACTGAGTGGTTTAGAAAGAGGAAAACATCAAGGTTATTAGAAAAACAACTGATTAATTACTTGTGGCTTATTAATCTCATTAACAAATGACTTCTGGTTGCTTAAATGAGCAAAAATATTTGTAATATTTTTATAATTCACAGTCTTTTTAAGCCCTAGATCTCTGTGGTGAAGAGTTGGCTTTTTCAGCTGCTGGCCTGCAGGACTGTGGGTTTTATCCTAATATGTAAAACCTCAAAGCTGATAATGCCAAATCATTTTGCTGAGGAAAGGTGGGTTTGCACTGTGTTCCAAGGGATCTCTGCCAGTGGAGATGTTTGTTGCATGTTCCCCCTTTTGGCAGCAAATAGGTTGGTATTGGTGTTGTTTTGTCACAGCAGAGCCAATTCCTTTTCAGAGTCTGTGTTCCAAACATGCTGCATTCCTGGATTGGGGATTTTCTGCTGGGAAGTTGTTTGTGTTTGCTCATCATAGGAGCAAGTCCAAATCATGCTAAACCAAATAATTTGTCCTCACCTGGTGTTTATTTTCTGTCAACACTCTGTTGATTTCCCTTGAGTGTGAAAGTTGGATCAGCTGAATTTCTTTTGTTTTTTCCCAAGTACAATAAATAAAATTATCCAGTGGCACTAGGTGAGGGCAAGGACCATGTAGAGGTAGTGCTGAATCCATTGGAAATGGGTCAGGGTGACTGTGTGAGGTGGAACTTTCCTAAATGTAAACAATAATATACAGAACTTGCTCATTCCCCAGAGATTTGTGATTAAACAAAGCTCACCCCAGTCATTTAACAGCAGAGACCACCACACACAGCTGGTCCTTTTTGTACTGTCTGGCTGTATATTTTATTCTGAATTTACAAAAGATTTTCAAGTCTTATCTCTTCCAGCAGTCACTGAACCCAAAGTCTGCAGCAGAGTGGGTTTAGCCTCTCTCAGAGGGCTAAATTGAGTCAATCTTTACTCTTCTCTTGCCAAAGCACAGAAAGGAGCTGCTCCCTGTGTACCAGCATGGTTTGTAGCTCTCTTACCTGCACACAGGGCGTGTTCCCACCTTAAGCTCTCCCAGAACTGGGAATCTTTAGTCCAGCCCTAAGACACCGCTTCTCACTGCCACCACCTCAGGAAGGCAGCAAGGACATGCAGCATGACTTGAGCAGTTCTTCCTTTCAGGTGACACCCACAGCACTTAAAGAAATGCTGGGAATAGCTGGACAAATTCAAGCATCCAGGAGGATGCTTCTTACCAGTTCTTGGGTCTCTTCCCTTCAGGATTCTTTATCAGAGGGAATAACGAGTGTGCTGCAGTCCCCCTGGGAGCCTCTCCTGGGACTGATGCAGACAAAGCCCTGGGCATCAGAGCAGCTTTTGCAGGAGGTAAATGCTTTTATCTGACCACAGGTTTTCCAGGCACAGCCTTCAGAGTTCCCTGGGTCTCATTCCAGCTCCTGCATTTGCAGAGCAGATCCGTTCTCCGCTCTCACGAGCGGCTCGTTGGTTGTTTTTAGGACAGCTTTTAGCTGATGCCAGAACATTTTCTGCTTGTGTTCCTCAGGGCTCCACTTCAAGTAAGTTTTCCTTCGCAGCAGTTTCCTGAGTTTGCTGAATTTCTGTGGGACGCTGTGGGGTGGGAGATCTTCCAGCACAATCATGATGAGGGAATCCAGGTTTTCGTTCAGGACCCAGTGCTCGGCAAAATACAGCTCGTACTGGCACCAGCAGCTGTTCACAAAGCTGGGAGAAAGAACAAAAAGCACTTTATGGCTGTTCTCTATGCAGTAAAAAATGTTCCCAAGCACAGGATGCCCTGGCTTGAAATCCCTCTCATGGTAACATATCCTGAACCCGTCATTTTCCAGCTTTTCCAGCAGGTTCTCTTTGGTCCAGTCGGCGTCGTGCTCGCTGTACGAGATGAAGGCATCGAAGAGTTTGTCTTCTGGCCGCTTCTCATACTGCTTCCTCTTGGCCATGCACCAGTACCAGCCCATCCTGACGTACCAGGGCCCGTCCAGCCGCCAGCAGAGCGCGGTGAGGGCCAGCACGGCCAGGCTGGCAGCAGCAGCGGTCACGGCCAGCTGGACACCCAGGGAGCAGCGCAGCAGCGTCAGGCGGCTGCTGCCCACCGGGAAACCCCGGCGTTCCGGGGGGAAGCTGCACCTCATGGCCCGCCTGCCCCTGATCTCCAGCTGGGGCTCATGGAGGTAGATGTTCACGAACCAGTACAGGTCGCAGGTACAGAAAAAATGCTCCCCTTGGGCAGTCAGAAGCCTGAGGCTCGTCAGCGGGCCGAACGTGGCCTCCACAATGGTCGTGATGGCGTTGTCACTGATGTCCAGCTCGACCAGAGAAGCTGGGAGAGAGCCACGCTGCAGAAAGGAGATCTTATTCCCTGACAGGTTAAAGTACTTGAGCCCTGGGAGGGATGCCCCAAAGCCATCGGGCAGTTCTGGGATCAGGTTGTGGCTGCTGTCCAGGCTGGTCAGTGCAGGAAGGTGGCTGGCAGGCTCCAGACGCGTGATCAGGTTCCCTGAAACGTTGAGGTGTTCCAGCTTCTCCAGGGCAGAAGTTAAGGACAACACCTTCACTTTGTTTTTACTAAGATCACATTTTTTTAAGGCTGATGGAAAAAACTCCGTGTGTACACCCATAATTTTGTTATTTTGAATCCTAAATATTGTTAAGTTGGAGAGGGATTTCAGACTGGGGGAGATGACTTTGATGTCGTTGTTGCTGATGTCGAGATGCTGCAGGGAGGGGGGGAAATTGGGAAGTACAGAAATGTGGTTGCAGCTGAGGTCCAGAAATAACAGTTCTTCCACTGTGTCAGCAAACCACTCTGGCAGCTCCACAATGGAGCAGTTGGACATTCCCAGGAGTTTCACTTTCTCTGGAAGGCTTTCAATGGGTGTCCCAGCCTCGTTCCTGACAAAGGAGATGGCATTGATGTGTACAGTTCCAGGGGGAGGGACACACATTGGAAGTGTGTTACCGCTTTCTGAGAACACTGTGTAGATGAAGTGGTTTCCTTGAACATACAGTTTTTCCAAGTTAAGCAATTTTTTAGCAAAATTTGGGGGTATTTGGCTGATGTTGGTGAAGGACAAATCAATTTCCTTGATGCTGGAAGGGAGGCACAGCGTAAACAGGCTGTTAATGGGGTTGTTGCTGATGTTTAGGAACAGAAGCTGGTGGGATGGGAACTCACAGAAGAATTCTGGATCCAGGATGTTAATGGTTAACTTGTTGGAGCTGGCATCAATGGACAGCGTGTTTTCCATGTGGAAGAACAGGGAAAACAGTGACAGAAGATCCATTTCCACGTTGTTGTGACTGATGTCAAGCTCCAAAATCCTGTCCAGCTGAGCTTGGCAGAGATTCTCATCCAGTTTTACCATCAGCTCGTCCTGGGTGAGGTTGCTGTGGGACAGGTTGAGTGTCCCGTTGATGGGAGTTCCACAGAGGGTGGGCTCAGCTGTGGCTGTGGGAAGGGCTGTTGTGTTCCTCTCTCCCCTCCGAAGAAGATTCCCTGGGCTTCTCCTGAGCCTGGGGCTAAGGATTTGCAGGACAGACAGAACTCCAGAACGTGACAGCTCCTCTGCAGGAGCAGAGGGCTCCAGAGCAGCCCCTGAGGATCTGCCAGAATTCCTGGAAAGCTGCAAAGACCTCGGAGCTTTGCCAGCAGGTGAGAGCTTCAGGTGGGGTGGGAGATCTGACAGAAGCAGCTTCTCATCATTAAATGATAAATCCACAGAAACCAGGCTGAGCAGACTCTGGAATGCTCCAGGCTCAACAGCCCTGATCTGATTGTAGGAAAAGTCCAGAACTTCCAGCCAGTCAAATCCTTCCAAGTCTCCCTTGATAATATTTTCAATGACATTGTGTGAGAAATTGAGAGCTCTTGCTGTTTTGGGAGCTCGTGCTTCTGAGACAGAGGACAGGTTTAAATAGGAGTAGTTATAAACCAGGAAGGCTGGAGGTGTTCTCCACATTAGGAATCCATGGGCCTGGCTGAGTAAGAAGGGAATGAAGTAGAAATGAAGGCAGCCAGGAAGGATCTTCATCCTGGAGAAAAGAAATGTTAAATCCATCATTATAATATGTTAATGAATACCCTTAAAAATAATCCAAATTTGCTTGAAGTCCAGAAACTGATTCATTAGTTGTATCCATTAGTCCCTTTTTATCCAGCAAAATAAAACACTTCTCTTACTTCAGAGTTAGAGAGAAAGAGTGTCACAGAATTATTTGAAGGAGAGCACTATTCATTGGAGGTCCTGGTAGATAAAGTCTGAATTTTTCTTTCTTTTCTTTCCCAGGCAGCCCCTGCAATACCATCCTCCCCCTGCAAAAATTGTCTCTTAGGTTGGAAATGCAAGGTGTGGCCGGGGCTGTGTGTTCTGTTGCCATCTGTTAGAGGTGGGGCAGTTATCCTCTGTTAACTGGGCAGTTTTCTTTATCTCTCCCACACCCATCCTCTCTCCAGGGAGATCTCTCCTGTTAATGGGCCATTGAGTGTCCCTGCATGGCTGATACAATTCCATCATCCCATTGGGAGATGTTCCACCCAGGGGGAGGAGCCAAGCATTCCCACCTGGATAGAATCTGACATTTGGAACACCACAGGCAGTCTTTTCCCATTGGATTCCTAGAGGAGCAGCTTTCTTCTCCACTGGATTCCCAGAGGAAGACCAGGCCCATCTACAGCACCACTGGACCTACAGAGGAAAGCTCCACCCTCCTACAGGATCCCTGCTCCAGCAGAACCACAGCTGGCACTGCAGGAGGGCTGCAGCCACCATGGAATGGGACTGCTGCCACCACCCTGACCCACAGGGTGCCAGGTCCTATTCTGACTCTGTCAGTGTTGTTCTGTATTACTGCATTTTTATTTTTCCTAATAACTGTTATTCCTACTCCCATATCTTCACCCTTAATTTCAAAATTATAATAATTTGGAGGAAGGCGGTTTGCATTTTCCGTTTCAAGAGAGGCTCCTTTCTTCCATACAGACGCCTGTCCTTTCAAACCAAGACAATTTGAAATGCCCTTCATGGCTCCCTGGGACTCAAGTTTTGTCTCCCATCCCGGTGCACAACAACCAAGTCAGTCTGACCCCCTCCAGAACCTGTTCAGCCACCCCAGGACGCCCCAGGGAGCTCCACGTAATTGTGTGACCATGGATCTTCCCCTGAGCCCAGCCCCTGGAGCTTTGCTCTGCCCAGGATTTACCAGTGACCATTTGTTTGGCCTTACCTGTAGGAGTAAGTTTTCTTGGGAGCAGGATATGGGAGGCAGCCAGGCCAGGTCACTGCCCCAGTGCCCCGCAGCATTCCCAGTGCCGGGAACGTCGCTGCCCCGGCTCTCTGTCATGAGCCCCTGACCCCGCTGCTCCGAGGCGTTCCCTGCAAAGGCAGGTGAGTAACTGCCACCATGATATTTTTACAAAAATCCTTTGCTAGGATTTTTCTCCTATTCTAGCTGAGAAGCCTCAGAAAGGAAATGTAAACAATTAACTATCTAATGGCTGTGGAATGTGGTCTGGACATTGTTTCCCAACAGGTGCATCTTAGATTGGTCCATGTGAGTTGTTTCTACTTAATAACCAACCAAAGATCTGCCTGTGTCGGACTCTCTGAGAGTCACGAGCTTTTGTTATCATTCATTTTCTTTCTTTTCCAGCTTTCTGATGAATCCTTTCTCTCTATTTTTTTTAGTATAGTTTTAGTATAGCACTATAATATCATATCATATCATATCATATCATATCATATCATAATATAATAAATAATCAGCCTTCTGAAACATGGAGTCAAGATTCTCATCTGTTCCCTCCTCCTGGGACCCTCGAACACAACCATAAGTAACCTGTGTCACCACTGTCCCCTTTGCTGCCCACTATTACTGCAAGAGCATCCCTCGACGAAGGGGAGAGAATGATGCATCTGACTCCATCTTATTAGAAGGCTAATTAATTACTTTATTATACTATACCATATACATGTCATCTAAACTGAATCTGCCAAGCACTCACTCTGCACATACCTGCACTCATCTCCTGACTCTTGTGTGTCCAACACACACACACTTTGGGTCCTAACAGGCCAAGGAAACAAAACATCCTCACTCTGGGTAAACAATCTCCTTATTGCATCCTACTTTGGCACAACACAGGCACAGCAAATGATGAGAGTTGTGTTTTCCCTTTCTCTGAGGTTCAGAGAATGTGAATCTCAGAAATATTCTTGGGAAGAATTGTGCCTTGCTTTTCTCTGTGAAGAGAAATGTGGCAACAGCCCACCAGGTTTAACTGAAGGGAAGGGACATCAGTGACTTCCCAGCTCTGTCCCCCTGTGCCAGCAGTTCCCCCAGCGCACCCCACATCCCGCAGGAACCCCCGGGGTCTGAAAAGCATCGCCAAATTATCCCAGAGCTCTCTCCTCGCTTCCAGCCGCCCTGCCATCCCTCTGACCCGCGGTACCTGCTCTCCTGGGCGCTCCTCCCTCCCTTTGTGCTGCCCCGGGTGCCTTTTGTGGAGCCGGGAGCGGAGCGGGCCGGGCTGGGGCACCCGGGACCGCCCAGCCTGGCCCCTGCCCTGTGCCCGGCACAGGAGGACGAGGAGGAGGAGGTGCCGGAGATGATGCTCCCCGGTGAAATCCGCCGAGTTTTCCCCTTCTCGCCCCTCTCAGGCGTTGCCCAACCCGTGCCCCAGGGGGAAATAAAAGGTGGAAGTTGCTCGTTTAATGCATCACAGCGTCGTGCCCAGGGTTTGCCTCGGCCTCAGCATCACAGGTGGGGGGAAAAAGTGGGAAACCGAGTTCAGCGAGGAGGGCATGGATTGGGCACAATCCAGCAGGGACAGACTGCAGGAATGCTGAGGGAGCTTGGAGTGCTGCTCCCTGGGGAACACAGAGTAAAGAATGGAGCAACACCCTGGTGCTGTGGTCGTGCTCTGTCAAAAACAGAACAGAGCCAGAGGAATGATCCAGACAAAGCTGACTCCGGCTTCATTAACTCAGAAGTTCAGGTTACTTGTGCTGTTAGCCCATGCTGATGACCAAAGTCACTCAAACTTCTCATAACCATGAAATGACATAAACTGTAACTTCACCTTTGCCTCTCCCTCAAAGAAAATAATGTAAAAACAGCTTGAGTGGAGAGGAGAGGCCATCACACATCCTGGGGTCAGGTGGGACACCTGGGTAAGAGCCTTACTCTAAATTATTACCTGGACCTTTCACTGGGCCAGAGCTTGCTTTTATATTGCTTCCAGTTGTGTTTTTTCCCCACTCTTTTGCAACCAGCAGTGACTGGAAACTCTCACAGCAGCCCAGAGGCCCCTGTGTCCAGCCCCGGGGGCTGGAAAACCCAAGGTGGTTTGTGCTGTCTGTCTGGTCTCACCGGGCACTTCTCTGCTGCGGCAGGTTCTGGGAATTGCCCCACAGTCATCCCTTCTTCAGACAGATCCCAACCTGCTTTGATAAAAGGGACAGGAAATTGATGAGTTGGGATGTCAGGGAACATTTTCACTCCTGCTCTCAGTGTGGGGTCATGGCCTGTAGATGGACAATTCTCCACCTGAATACAGCGGTGCTGCTCATGAGCCTTGGGCTGTGCTTTGCTTTGGGAAGGTGGGACAGCTGCATCCTGGCACAGGGGCCACCAAAATCCCAGAGACTCAATCATGGTTGGAAGGGACAGAGTTAAAAAGATGGCTTTTTGGTACTAGCACAGTTATTCCACCAACTCTCTGTGCTGGAATTATTCTGTCATTTGTTTCGTCCAACACCCTCTCTGTGTTTTTTTTTTTTTTTTTTTTTTTTTTTTTTTTTTAAGGCAACCTATTATTTTGGGAATTGAGGGAAGAGCAGGACACAAGAAAGGTCTGAGTGAGCAAGGAAGGTCCACACCATGTGGCCAAGAGCAGGACCAGTGCATTAATTCCCAAAACAGATCATGTGCCACTTGTTCTTCTCTCTCTGCAGGGAAAGGTTTTTTGAGCACTGGAAATATTAATGGAGGAGAGCTGAACCTGCACAGGAACTGCTCAAATCCAAAGAGGATCAGCACCAGCTTTTAGGAGGCCAGACTAACAGAAGCTTTTCTCATTAAGGTGTGCTTGGATTTAGGTGCAGGATAAAAATAACAGGTATTTATGACCTGGAAATGCACTTGTCTGTGTGAAACAGCTCTACCTCCTCAAGGTGTAGGAGCAAATCTAAGCCAGCTGTTGGTCAGGAGGGGATGGGAGAGGAAGGGGAGCAAAGCTTGTTTCTTTTGGATGTGGATGTGGGTGCTGGAGCAGCCCAGATTCCAGGCAGGAATAGCTGTGAGCTTGGAGCTTCCTGTGCAAGGGGAAGTCGAGGCTGAGGAACACCTTGAGGAAACCCTCGAGTCGAGGATTTGCCAAGAGCCTGTTTGGTCACACCATGGCAAAAGCTGCTGCTGGGGGCACCAGGTGCTGTGACTTCTGAGTCAGGGATGTGCTTCCCCCTCCTGTAGGGAGTTCCCCCAACGAGGGGAATTCTGACCTTCCACGAAATAATTATTCTTGGCTTGCCCTCTGATCTAATCACCACAAGGAGGGACGTGCAGGAAGAGTGACTGTGTTGTGTTCCCTTCCCTGGCACAGCCTGAGGGATGCTGAGGCTGCCCAGAGCTGGGTGGCTCCAGCCTTTCATCAGGGCAGCCTTATCCAATATAAAACCATCCCAAGGGATTGTGCAGCTCGGAGCCATAACGAGGGGATCCAGCCAGCCCCTTGTGCAGGCAGCAGCAGATGAAATGCTTCCATCTTTTCCTGCTCTGTGCTGGCTGCTGATGCCTCTGGCAGGCAGGAAGGATGGGAATGAGGGAATCTGGGTACAAGACTGTTCTGTGGGGAAATAATCTATGTAAAAGACTCTTTCCCCTTTCCAGCTCACTCGGTCACCTCGCTGAGCCTCAGAAACTGGGATATGAGCAAGAGCAGTGAGAGTCAATTTAAATGCCAAATCACGCTGCTGCTGCTGTTTGGGTTTTCTGCTTGATGAGACTAAAATAGGTTCTGTTGCAACAGTCCAGC